ATTCGGGACCAACTGTTGAAAGAGGACCCGAACTACGAGGAGGACGACTTGGTTGAGCGCATCGGTCACTGCACCGCATGTCTCACCGGACAATATCCCGTCAAATTGAGTTTCTAAGCCATCACTCAATTTATATTATATTATATTATAATATACTTTTATTAACACTATTATTATTAATAGTATTAAAAAATCATATAACGTATTGCTAATTGTAGTTGCGATGGATTTTATATTTATAACATAAATCATATCAATTATGAGCAATATTTAGACCATTTATTTTTGTGCCAAAAAAATAATAAATGAATTGTTATCCTAATATTAATAATATTGTACTTATATAAACAGACGATATAATATTTGTAATTTTATTTTAGTTCCAAAATAATTGTTTTATTACTTTGTAAAATTAAAGTAATGTCATACTTCCGGTATGCAACAAAATTATATATCTAAAAGGAAACTACCTTAGTAAATAGTCTAATTATTGATCCATCTTCATGCCATGTAATTCCGAACTCCAATTAAGTGTATATTCAAAAGACAGAATCGGCCAAATGATCATCAATGTTAAAGTTATGACATTTTACTTTAATTACAGTACTGGTGATAAATCATACACTTGATGTGAAACATCATTTTTTATTAATATATAAATGTTTACAAAATGGCCATAACTTTAAGTTTAAAACATTTATGCTATTTGTTGATTCTATCTTGTTACAAGAATCTTCTATCTTCTATTGTTATTATACATTTACTTATTTTGTTAGATTACTGGATCAGTTGGTATGAAGATTACTCAAGAATTGAACTATCTATTAAGGTAGTTTTATTTTAAGTCCATAAGTACTTTTTACATAGTTAATTTGTATTAAAATCAGTTTAGGGACAATAATAAATTCAATCAGAGCTAAATTAACCTATGTCAAACAATATAATTTAATAGGATATTGAGATACTATTAGATAAAATCAATAATGTATTTAATTTATCAGTTAATTGTTGAAAATATATACTATTCAAGGTTGTGACTAAACTGGAACATTTTAAGTGGTGATGATCTTTTTATCAAATATTCATAGTTTATTATCTTATTGTAACCAATAATGGGGTGGTTTATAAGGTATTTGTTAAGTGAAAAGTAAATAAGTTATTTACAATAACGTAATTACAGCATGTGTTATAAAATAATTTGGTACTAATTTAATGGGTCTATCAAAACATATTATTGAGAAAAATACTTATCATGTTAAATTATCAAAAGAGTTATATAATGAATCAATCAAAGGGTATTTATTTACGCAAAATATGACATTAATTTGGACTAAAATCTTAAGTATTGATTGGCATTATAAGTGCAGACAAACCTTTTTCATACCCAACCTATAAGAATATAATTAGCTATAAGTAAAAATATATGCAGTATTAAATAAAGTAGGATTTAAATAAATATATTATAAATAATTAAAAATTTATTATAAATAACTATAAAAGGCGTATAATTAAATATTGTACATAAAAAATGTTATACAAAAAACTGCATAAATAATTTATGATTATTTATCAATCATTAACGAATGCATTGTTATCCCGATTGCCATTTGGGTGAATATCAATAGACTGTTGCTTGTGATCAATATCTGAATGACTTTCATCGTCAGAGTCGGTAGTATTTTGAACCCATTGTTGATTCTGTGCCGAAGCGAAAAATAGATATACCAGTCCTGTGCCTATATATACAGCACTGGTCAAGTAAAACACATACGACCAGCCCTGCAGTGTTTGCTATGATTTTTAAAATTAAAAATTTATTAATTAAACAATTCATTGAATTAAATAAATAAATAAAATAGAGCCTTACATTATACTTAGTGAACGCGTTGGCCACTATGGGAGCGAGGAAGCCTGGTAAATTGCCCAAACTGTTGGTTATGCCCATTAGAGTGCCCGCGTATTCGGGCGCCATATCGACGTGTGTGCTCATGAATCCAGCAAATATAAACCCATTCAAACCCATGGCCAATATAAACAGCGCAATGTTCCACGTTTGGTCGCATTTGGCAAACACCACTCCCACCAAACATAGAGCCGGACCAAAAAACCCTAATTAAAAAATATGTTACTTATAGTAGCCATTAATAATAAAGTTAATGAAAAACAACGGACCGACACAATTGCAGAATTTCCTAATATAAGTGATGGGAACTTTTCCCGACGCCCGAACCCTATCGCTAATAGTGCTGACAATCCAACTCATTAGAGCGCATGTAAGCCACGGCAGGCTTGAGTACAGACCGTTCTGTTATTAATGATAAAATATAATTAATACTAATTGCATATTAAATCAATGTATTCACTATATGAATAATTACATGTTCAATGTCTATATTCAATATTTTCTCGAAATATGAGGGCAAAAGTGTGAGAACAGTGAGAAAACCCCAGTTTTGTCCGAAATGAGTGATGATTAGGGCCCACATCGGCAAAGAGGTTACGATCTTTTTCCAAGGAGTCGGCGCTCGCTTTGCCTTTTTTAGAATTGGAAAAAACATTATTATTCAAAAATTGTAACAAACAATAAGTTTTTATAGACAAACCTTAATGGCTTCCGCTCCCTGTCCAGTCTTAATGAATTGCAATTCTTTAGCCGATATATAGGGATGTACTTCTGGACTCTCAGACACTATGAGAGCCCATAATATAAACCAAAGACAACCCGCAATTCCCAGCAGATAGAAGATGGCGGGCCAACCGCCGAGGAATGTGCCGTTACAGAGCACTCCCGCCAATGGCTCCGTTATGACGGTTCCGATCTGCGCGCCCGTGAAGACAATGGTTCCGCCCAGACTTCGCTCCATTTTGGGCAACCATTTAGCCAGCATTGAGTTCATCACTGGAAACACTACCCCTTCGGCCAATCCCTGGCCAACTCTGACGGCGAAGAAGGCCGAGTAGTGCAAATTGGCCGCCACAGGACTGATGAGCGATAGCAGGGCTGTAATCAAGACACTGGCGCCGAATATCCATTTGGCGCCAAACCTTTCGGCCAGAAGTCCTCCGGGAAGTTGTGTTAAGATATAGCCGTAGAAGAATGCGCCCAAAAGTGACGCCTTCTGATCGGCATTCCAAGAGAAATCACCGGTTGGCGGACCCATTGTGCTATTGGTTGGCCCGACGATCACACACTCTTGGCTTTTATCGGATGTGGTGCCCGAGCTTTTGACCATCGCTACGATCGCTACACTTAACACCACTTTAAAGCCGTAAACTAAGTTGAATCCAAAAAAACCCATAAATACAAACACGAATCGCATAGGAATTGCCGAAAAACAACCCTTCCGTTCATTTTCACGAGAATTTTGGTCTAAATCTTTAGTTTTCATTTTCGCTGTAAAGCTCTCTGTAATTGCAAATAACACCAGAGATTCACAAACAGTGGCAAACAAATTGTGTACTTATGATAGCAATGATACAAATATCACAGAAGTTATTGTATTTAAATGTCAATTCTTATCTATAATTAACGGTGTAATGAAATTACAGTTAAATCCTAGAGTTTAACACTAGGATTAACTTTATTGTAGTTTTGTATTTTACTTCATTACTATAATATTAATTTCCACTCATTATAACAATTCTAATAAAGTAATAAAAACACAGTAATAATTGTTAATTTATGAATTATATTTAATTATAAATGATATAATTTTGAATAGATATTTATAATAAAATGTATAATGTAAAGAGTTTAGACTGTATAACAAATACTGTAAAATAATCAATTGATTGGAAAGTAATGTGATTTGATTTGATTCAAAACAATTGACACACCGTTTAGTAGTGTTTGATAACTAGAAGAATGTGAAACAAAATCAAAATCGGCTCCAAATTTAGTGCATTTTTTACATGTTTAATGTATTAGTACAAATAATAGTACAAATAATTGCAGTACAGTACATTACAATAATTATATAATTATTATAACATCTATTATTATACTATATTATTATACACTGTACTGTATAGCAATTAACCACAAAGTATTTTAATAATAAAATATTATATATCATTTAAAACACATTTAAATTGCTAAATGTAAATAAATTTAAATGAATGAACCAATATCACAAGTTATTTGTTTAAATAACATTAACTATTTCTGTTGTAAATCATAATTTGGTTCTGTAATTACACTCACATTTAACAAATTGCCATTTTATTCATAACAGATTATTATAATTTTAAAAATGCAAAATATTACGTTATAGACAGTAGCTTAGTTTTTTATTTGTACAATTTTTATTTGTATTTCATTTATACAGGTATTGTACAGGTATAATAACATTGTATTAACACATGTTTAAATCATGTCAAAATAACTTAAAAGGTGTTTATAACAATAAATGGGTACGTGAGTACAAGCCTGGGCCCAGCAAATTTAAAAAAAAAATTTTTTTATTATGCATTAATTTTATGTGAAATTCAACGCTAAACACGAATATGAAATTCAATTTTTTTTATCTCGAATATTTTTCGAGTTATTCGACTTTTAGTT